ACAGAACAGTCAAGACTTGCATTTCGTTAAAGACTCTGTGCCTGAAGTTGGATGTTAATGAGGACAATCTGTCAACGAGTTAGTCTGTTTGATGTGGGTAATAGGATGTAGGTAATGTGAGCATCTTAACTAAAGATCCAGTAGACTATCTGCAGTAAATTTTTTTGACTGGACTGCGAAGCTAGGCAGAAAGCAGCAGGAAGTAACAGTGACTTTAATTGTTTTAGCAAAGCTGCACAATTCATGTAAACTCAGAGATCTAGTGAGGGTCTAGTCAGCGAGTTTGCGAGATTCGTGTTTGCGTGCTTCCAAAACACATTAAAACTGAACGTGTCGGAGTTCTTCTATGATCCAGAGAACGGCGTAACGCTCAAGTCCTGGCATCGGCGTTATGAAGACCTATTCCGAGTTGTCCTCGCCTCCGAGGATGACGTATGGAAGGTCAGACTCCTTGCTAGTAAACTGGGTCCAACAGAACGGAAGAGGTACATTAATACAATCATTCCCAAGTCCTCGCTCGAATTCACGTCTGGAGAAACCAATGTCTCAAGCTGGCGACTTGCTAGACTACCTAGTAGCAGTCAATCGAGAGTACGAGGAATGTCAATTCAAATCAGTCACTAATGACCAGCTCAATACTCGCATTCTCATTTGCAGCCTTCAAATCCCTAAGTACACGGATGGACGAAGGCGGCTGCTACACCTGATTGATCAAACTCTTTCCCTGACGCTTGATGAGATCCGCAATGAGTATGCACACTTGTGAAAACATCTTTCGAAGATTCCCTGGACATCATCAACCAGTTCACCACGGGTTTTAACCCTGGATTGTGACACTATTCTACTGCACAAACCACCCTCCGCCTTTTACAGGACGTAAAACCGGTCTTCCGTCCAAAAAGACCGGTCCCTTACTCATCGTTACCTCTGATTGACGCTGAATTAGAACGTCCTGAACACGACGGCGTCCTATCCCCGGCCTCATACTCAGCCTGGGTGGCCCCAATCGTTGTGATCAAGAAGGCCAGTGGTTCAATCCGGATATGCGCTGACTTCTCCACTGGCTCAAATGCAGTCCTAGAAGCACACCACTATCCTCTACCAGTCCCAGAGGATCTATTCACAATTCTGAGTGCTGGAAGATCGATCTGGCCGATGCCTATCTACAACAGGAAGTAGCTCCAGAGTCCCGTCCACTGCTGACCATCAACACCCATCGCGGTTTATTGCACACCGGCATGTCTACATGTTCTACTTGACGGTGGGTCACGACACGTGGTCAAGGCATTGCAACTAGCTTCGATGGGGAAAAGGATCTGCGACACCAAATTGATGGGATCCACGATTCCCCCAGATTGCTCGTCGTTAGTTTCTGGCACAATTTACACTAATTCACTGACATTTGCTATATTGCGCTTTTTATCAGGCCAAGGTCAACCTTGACTCGATTTAGTTTCACTTTAGACAACCCACTCTGCACGTGGCTGACGTGAATAAAGCTCTCTACACGAGCTCTGGTCTTGGTATTGTATTAGCGTGGGAAGGTCGCTTCTAGCGTCAACAAGGGATCTGGTACCGTTATTTGAGTGGTTTCCTCTTTGTTACTGGCAAACGTAACACAAATCGCCAGACCAGCGTCCCACAGGATGTGCTTTTCTACACTTTCCAGCTGTCACCACCGAAAGCAACGTAGGACGGAGTAGTCGAAAACGACGGAGCCCAGCACTACTCTAAGTGGACCCAAAGAGGAGGCACTGCTAGGTTTTCAAGGGGAAGAGGTGTCGGGGATCCACGATTCCCTATCGACAGTTTTCGTCATTGTTTACAGTGGGTGAGTTATCCACGGCGCCCTTACTGGCAAACCCATCTATGCCAATCCGTTATCACCCATCACGTCAATGTCACCCTTGACTTCTATAAGTCTTCACTCTCCGACAGATCACTCGGCCTTTGTCTGAGACGATTGAAGCTCCCTGCACTAAGTCTTGTTCTGTCTTGGGAAGGTCGGTTCTAGCGTCAGACAAGGAATCTAGGTGCTGGCTACATGAGTAGGTGGTGCCTTGGTTTCGAGCGAATGTAGCAGAAAGAATAAAACAGTACTCACGTTTAGTTAAGTAGAAAATGTGAAATGAGTTTAAAATCAATCTTATGACAGTAAAGGTACACTAAATCGGGTGCCATAGTAATTAAATTGCAAAACTGTTCAGTTCAGAAATTGTATTACGGATCTAGCAGTGGAGGTTGTATACCCTGGTAGCGCGTAATCTCGCTTTCAACTAGACGTAACGATGTGGTCAGTGCTAAGCGCTATCATGAAACAAACGTGTGCATATGGTCTTGTATACTGTGTAAATTAGTACGGACGCTATATTTTTGACACCCGCAGAGACAGGAAGAGGATCAGAGACGGCAAAGGCAACGTTTACTAGAGAACTCAACCCAGTTTCGCTGCCACGCCACTTTGAATAAAAACTTTATGACTAAATACTGGGGGTTGTTGATCAATACAGTGCGGATAAACCCATAAAAGTACTCAATTTTGAATTGCCAGACAAACGAAATTCGCAGCATGGATAGGCAGACGGTTCCGCATGTTTGATAGGGGCGCAGTGAAAATGGGCTCAGTGTGGCAGATAATGGACCTACATCAGCACGATTCACTACAGAAACATTTTGTCACTGACTATGTGAAGTTTACCCAAAATTGAGCAAATGGTTTCATTGTTTTCGTGTGCTAAAAGCAATCGCAAAGGGGTGATTTCTCGCACACTACCAGCGGTGAGAAGACTTCGATGTCAAGCTTGTTGCGTTTTGCCTGCAACCAAATACCACACAGATAACCGATGCCCCAGACCCCTTGTCTGACGCCAGACCCCACCTTTCCCCACTGCTGTAAGACAGGACCTCATGCAGAGAGATTCTGGCGTCAGGATGTGCCCACTCGTGCAGGTCACGGATGAACTTGACCTGATGGATCAAGGTGGCTGTCAGTGGGTGCCGTGGCTGGCGTGGTTAGGGAAATTGTGTAAACAATGGAGAAATCCTAGCCCCGATTAGCCGTCATGGGGAATGCTAGATCACCAACACAGCCGTCCTCTGGGTTCATATTTGCCTAACCATTCACACAATTTTATTCATGCAATAAACTACCACTTTAGGTGGTAGTAGTGGATGGTTTGTGAATTTACAAGGAAACCGTTCCATTGAAGAGGTTCAGCAGAAGAACGTATTCATTATAATCGGGCTTTGGCTAGGATCAAATGTCCTCCTCCTTTGATAACCCTTTAAGTCTAAAAATTGAGCTGCACATTGACTACTTAGCCTTCGCGAATGTGAGGGAATGGAAAGAACTTTCTGAGGCATGGGGCTGCAAAGACATGTGAAAAAAGGCGTCTGTAAATGGGAACAATTAACGCTATGCCTGAAATTTACGCCTGGGTCCTCACTTCTGCTGTCAAACTGGCAAATCACCTCTAGGTGCCGACCTCAGCGCTGCAGTCTTATTACCATGTTTGTTTGAATACCCCGTCCCTGGTTTTGATTGGTGGAGGGATAAGAGCTACGGCTTCAGAGCTATTTCATACTGCAGTCGACAAGGTACTTCATTCACTCCCACTTACGTTGGTGACTTTTCCGGCAGTTTGACAGTTACTGTTAAGACAATGGTTATTCTAACGGCTGTATTACCAGGTTAATTTTGTCTCCTGATGATCACAGTGACTTATCGGTAGATTATTTGGAATATTCAAATTTCTGAACTTAATTGGAACAAACCACCCGGGTAGCCAGTAGCTCCATTATTAACGTACGTGCTAAGCACATGCCACCACGTCACTTGCCTTGTGAGATTGGCAATTCGCAGGGTTGACACTGGTAGATTTTGGCAACAATGAGAGGATTACTTGGCTAGTTTACTTTGTACATCAATTTCTGCAGAAGCTCACGAAGACTACATCGTCCCATGAGCAAGTGTGTTGCACGAATTAACTGGATTTTTCTATGATGCTATCTCATAAAAGCATTTTTCATTCATGAAAACAGCTTACAATTTAACAGTTTTGACCAAAAATGGTTGGACTGTGTATAAATAGCCTGCGGTTTAGCCTAGCCAGGCACAAGCATAAATCCACTCAAGTTAGACAATTTCTCTTTCGGGAAGGAAACGAGAGATTTTAACATTATGACAGATGCGCAAAAGTTACGTTCTTTTAATCCTCGTGCCAGTTAATAGAGTACACGATTAATCCACTTATGTGTAGATTACCAATGTCTAACAATGGCTCGACATCACAACAATTATAATGAATGAAATTATTTTTTTTAAAACACCATGTCTGTAATTAATGGCGTCTGTTTAAAAATTGCTCACAACTTGCTGGCAAACCTACCCGGGGGAACTAAAATATCAGCTGTAGCTGGCAGAAGGGCAACATCGTGCATCATCGTTGACGATAACAACAGTAGGATCCTCCCCGTAGAAACGTCTTGTCAGCTGATTCCGCGTTATTGGACTAGTCTCCACGGTGGGTAATGTACTACCTCACCCTAACACGGTTTAATTCTGCACCCATTTCTAAAGGGGAATTCAAATTAATTAAGGTAAGACCGACCGATCTCGTACAATTTCCACGCACTGTCTGGCGTTTTGCAACAATTCATGCATCTGTACTAGAGACACATATTAGCCAACCCCTTAATTTCATTCCAATTCTGAGTGTTTTACGGCGGGGAAGAATTACCGCCGATTTTTTGTGGTTTTTTTTTATCGAAATCATCTGCCATGACCAGCAGGACAAAAGAACACAATAGAAACGGGCGAAGTAGGCAAAAACCCGCCAGTCGGGAATGCATTTTGTCGCAAAGAAAATTGGGCAGAACCACGCCAAGTCGGAACTCAGCATGCGTGAATTTTATTGCCGTCACAGGGGGAGGGACAATGTCTTTATTAACCTCATGACTATTTAACTGCTCAACACACGCACACACGCACATAGTCCGAAATGGCATTGTGCGGAGTGATCAGCCTCCTGCTTATCTCTCTTCATGCTGCTTCTGGGTTGTGGATCAACTACTCCAATACCGATACTTTGCTTCTAATGTCCGTGACGACTGGACAACAAATCGGAGGTTTTGAACGGTGTTTCGCCAACTGCACAAGTCAACGTCCACACTACGATTCCGGGCTCTACAACGAGTACAGAGTAAGTCCTAAGACAAGAGTAGAAATCTTAGTTGGTACCATAACTGACATGGTTGAAGTGACTTCTCCCCTCTAGTCAGAAAGTGATGCCTCAATAGCATATTAATTAAAATGCTTAGTAGACTCAATGCCTACAACCATATTACGACCGCGACAGAGAGTTTTAGGTCGATCTGAAACATTGTAGATCTTTCAATGTACTAAAACTGGATGTCGCCTTGGCTTAGTTGGAACATATCAATGTTTTACAGAAACCATAGCCATTTTCGGAGTAAATCAGGCAATCATTGTGATTCTGTTTGCCTTTTGCAGAAGATGTGCTACTGTGGGACTCTGAGAAAGAATTACAACCTTAGCTACCCAATTGTGGATCCAAATATGACAGCTTTTATTTACGAACATGGTAAGTGTGCTTTTAGCTGCAGAAATGCGCATTGCAAGTAAAATACAAACATAGTGAAAGTCTGACAACTAGGTTTAATGAGTCGATTGGGATCGTGGCTTCATGTCCAACAAAAGCAGTTTATTGTTGTCATGGAACGTTTAGTCTCTTGTCTACCTCAACCACTATTGTTGCAGTAATGAGTTCTGTCCCTAGGAGGTGTCGATTTCCCAGTTTCGCTTTCTCCTGGATATCAACAAAATTGACAATGTCATTGTCTTGTTTGCGAATAGGTTTTGACTGTTCCTGCCCGCAGCGAATTCTAAAGGACATGGATGGGATGGCCGCGTCTGGCATAGCAGCTAACGTGAATGATTGCGAAGATTTCTGTTTGAGCCACAACAACGATTCAATTAACGTTGCTGTCTTCTTCAACAACGTGGTTTGTCTTTACCTTAAACAAACCGTTGCAATTTTTCAAAAACATCGCTTTCTTATTGGGACTGCAAGTCAGCCAAATCAATAACACATTTGGGCAAATTTTAATTTTTTTTTACGAGATAAACGTTCAAACAACTTAAATTGAAATCGATTTGCCTGCACAAATCCTTTAATTAATGGTTAAAGATAAAATAGTCTCACTAATGCCGATTCGACAAACGAGTGTTAGAAATATGCAGGGCAAAATACATCGCTTTTAGACAACTGCTTATTTGTTCTAGTTGGTACAAGTGTTCGACCTTCTGAATCTCATAGTTCAAACCGTGGAATGAGAAAGACAGGCAGAATGCTATTGTATTCAGTTCTCTAAGCGAACACTGAATCATCTGTAGTCTCTGCAGTCGACTTAATCTACTTTTCACCACTTAGAAGGTGCCTGCTTTTTAGAACCTATGCAACTGCTACGCACGACCTGCCGAGCCATTTACGATTGAGTTGGAACATAGCAATCAAGTCGGAGTAACTTTACGGTCCTACTGCTTCCAATGTAAGTTTCCGTTTGGTGCATTTAAGAAAGAATACTTCGAGCTATAAATAATATGCTCGATTGATATATTCTTGCGAGCTGTTGTGGGTGTGAAAGGATTCGAAAGAGAGGTTTCAACATATCCAGCGACAAGTCTGTACTTTATTAGCAGAGTTTACAATGACAACTGACAAGCGGCACATTCGATACTGCACTTTACACGCATTCCAGCAAGAAAAAACGCATCTAAAGCATGCGAATCCATTTTTAGTGTTATTGGTGTTGACGTTGTGTCTAATGAAACGTGCAGTTATTGGTAAAAAACGTTTTAGAATATGTGATTTCGGACATTTTTGACAAGCCACACCTCAGATAGGCTTAAAAGTTACAAGATGCGGAACCTCAAGCTCTTTTGGATGAAGACTCAACACGAGTGCATCGGGGTCTTGTAGCTCAGTTAGGCGTCACCCCAGGGTCTATTTTTCAAGGGTTTGTACCAAATGGGACAAATTCAAAAACTTGGAGGTTGGGCCTCCCCTACATGTGTTAACCGAACACAACCTAGGCCAACGTACGAATACTTGCCTTTTACTTCTTGCCTGCCGACAATAGTAAATCATTTCTTGTGA